TAATTTGTTGGGACACTTCTTTAAATCGTTTTGAGAAAAATTGATCTTTCATCAAATTTATTTTAAATCTTTCCTAAAATTTAACACTCTCTGTGAATCGATTCCCCAGCTTGTTCAGACCATACTCCTAAGCCATCGTTGTTTAAGAGCACAATTGCTTGTTTCAAATTATCTAGAATAACAAGGATTTTGACGATTTGAGAAACATCTGTGCTTTTTAAAGCATTACGGAGTTCATTAATATTTTTCAAATGGAGAAGAGACATGGATGAAGAGACATTTTATTTCTCAAACAAACTGCTATAATCGATATTTAGATAAACATATTTGATGACACCTGCAATTGGAAAAAGAAAATCTACGATGCTAAAAAAAAGCTTATATGTGTTTGATATTTCAATTTTCCGTATGTGGGTAGCAAAGCGCCATCTAATTACAATCAATATAACTATATTTTCTTGGGGATAAATTATACAATACGTATGGTACATGTTAGATTAAAAAAAATATATAGAATTGTCGTAATTAAAAAAAAACTTGCGCGCACGCCCGTGTGTGTATGTGTGTGTGTGTTCATATTTTAAGTTATTATTTATTTAAAATTTATTACTTATACAAAATTTAAGACATTATCTATTCAAAATTCCATAAGAATGTTTTTAACCATAGTAATTCTTACCTATTGTGATATTTCATAAAATTTTCCTATAAAAAAAAAACAAAAATTAGAATATCTTGCAAACAGGAGCAGTTATTATTTCAATTCAAACTGCTTTTGACTCTATTTTCAAGTACAAATATTTTTCCGCTTTCAGTTTTTGTCATCATTTTTATGCAATTTAAAGTTGCTTCCTGCCCACCGTGACAACTATTAATATACGTCCGACGCCTTACTACGAAAACATACTACCTCAAATTTAGCTTGGAAAACCTAGCTAAAATTGTACTTGGAAAAGATGCTACCTAAAATTGTGTGTGTAAATTGTGTATGTATTATAATTTGTTATTTCAAAAAACGTTGAGTAATATACGTGTTGCAGCGTACTGCATATTATTCTATTTTTTTAATTAACAATCCGAGGTAGCATGTTTTCCACACAATTTTAGGTAGCATCTTTTCGTAGTACAGTTTTAGCTAGTAGGTTTTCCAAGCTAAATTTAAGCTAGCATGTTTTCATAGTACAACAATAACTTCAACAGATGTCACATAAAGAAAGATGTTAAAATACAAAGGGCACAGATTTTTTCCGGAACAGGTGCTGCAACTAAATAAACACCTTTGGTCTCATGGATTACAAAAATATACAGTGAAATCTCCTTTAATTGTCATCCGCTACAAACAGGCACTTCTTGTGAGCAGATAGTTTTGCCTGGTCCTGATAGCTTTCCATAAGAATAGCATTTCTTCAGACAGACTCTCTTTTAAGAGGACATAGATTCTAACTTTCTAATATTTTTAGGATAATTTTTTTCCTGATTCGAGAACAAAAATGAATGAGAGCGAATATTATCAAAACAAGCACTTAAATTTTTTATGATGAATCTTTGCTGTTAATTAATAATAACTGAATTACATATTTCGACGGTTAGAGGTTAAGATCAGCTGCTAGAAAATTTCGGCCTTAGTCACTAGTTGTTTTTGATTTTTGGTTTATTTTGTTTCTTCACTCTTTATTTGGTACAAATTCGTATTAAGACCTTTCGTTAGAAAACCCTCTAGATGTAGGTTTGCTATAAGTTTAAAAATTATGAGGTTGCACATGCCATGCTAGTATCTTTAAAAAGGTATTACTAAAATTATACTTACAAATGGTTAAAAAGACTCATAATAACTCCAAACAACATGTGAATAATACCAATAATAATTGATATTTTCATCTTAAAGGAGTTCTGGAATATGATTTTATTCTCAGCCAGTTGCCAAACCGGGTCCAGTCCAATAGGATATGGATTCCCCGAATAGTCATGTGTGGTCATTGGATTTAGAGTATAATCTGAGCCAATAGTCTTCAGGTCTTCCTTTGTGAGATTAGCTACTCTCCAACTAGATCCAAATATATTCAGTGATTTAGAAAATACATCGTTATAGATCAAACCAGTATACATCGAGAACATACCCATCAATAATATTATATATCGACCTCCAAAAAATATATTCCAAATCTGTAAAAAATGTATATAATTTTTAAGAATACCTGGGATTCACATAAAACACTGGTTCTATAATTTGATAATAGATTTTCCATTCCGTAAAATATTTGTTTCAAAGAAAATGATGGATTGCTGAAGAAAAAAATTGGTGGTTTATCCTAATCATCTTAAAATATTAAATATATTGAGAATACATTACATATTATTTTCAAGAGTAAGACTTAGCCACAAATCCGTTAAAGCTTTGCTTTAATGTAATTAGTCAAAGATAGCAACCTTTATATTATAAAGAATGTTAGGTTTAGTACCTACATTAATAAAAAAAAATGTCTATTTATTGTGAATGTAATTTTAATTCTGTGTGTTGCCCAAAGATAAATTTGTTTAAATTCAGCTCCAAATATTCAACATAGAGCAGAAGTTTTACAAATTTAAAAATTATGAGTTTCAACTATACAGGATGTCGATCGATATCTAGGAAAGTACTGCTTCCAAAAATTTGAAAATTTAGCAACATGACAATGTCCCTATGGCGAACATAATTAAAATAGCTAGAACTCTCCAGCACTTCTGGTTATAACGGAAGTCGACACCAACTTTGTTATTTTAAATGGAACACCCCATATAATACTGCATTTTCGTATTCTATGGGAAATTTCAGGGTAACTTTATTAAATATTCCCTTTACCTCGGAGTTATAGATTTTGAAATAAAAATTTTTAAAGAAAAAATTTTACAGATGCAAGGGTCCACGGAGATGCTAGGTATCTCTTTTCAGGAGCATGATATCAAGCGGATTTTTGGTATCTGTAAAGGGCATAGGTAACGCTAAATTATGGTATACCAACAAATTAAAACATTTAATACTAGTTGTTTCATTTTTGCTGTTACATTTTGATAACTTCAAACAACTATATCTTTGTTAACTTAAATGGAACATCCTGTATTTTTTTATTCTGCCACTTGCAGATTGAAATTTCCTTTCAAGCCATATTGGTGTTTCTGGTCATGGCCAATTTGACAACAGATCTGATAAGAGAAAAACTGCCCAAAAAATAGAAAATTGCAAATATCTCTAGAAGTAGTAACGGCAACCCTAACAATGCTTATTTGGCTTGAAATTTAAATATGCATACGACAGAGTAAAAAAAATATAGAGTGTTCCATTTAAGTTAACATAGTTATAGCTGTCTGAAGTTATCAAAATGTAACAGCAAAAATTAAACATCTAGTATTAAATGTTTTAATTTGTTGGGACACCATAATTTAGCGTTACCTATACCCTTTACAGATACCAAAAATCCGCCTGATATCATGCTCCTGATAAGAGTTACTAGCATCTGCGCAAACCCTTGCATCTGTCAAATTTTTTCTTTAAAAATTAATATCTCAAATTCTATTAACTCCTAGGTGTAGGGAATATTTAATAAAGTGACCTTCACATTTCACGTAGAATACGAAAATGCAATAATATATAGAGTGTCCCAGTTAATATAATGAAATTGGTGTTGACTTCCGGTATAACCGGAAGTGCTGGAGAGTTCTAGATATTTTAGTTGTGTTCGCCCCAGGGACATTGCCATGTTGCCAAATTTTTCGGAGCAGTACTTTCCTAGATATCGGTCGATGCAGTTCACGGTGGGACACCCTGTATATAACTATAAATATCAGGCTTAAAAAAGTATTGAGTATCAGCTAATGGTTTTCTTATTCATAAAATGGATTCAATCCACAAGGCAGTTTGTTTTAATTTTATCAAAAACATATTTTCAGTGACTGGCCCATCATGATCAAGCAATATGTAAGGGAGAGAGTATGAGTCCATCGTCAAAGAACCACTGGAAAAAGTCAATCATTCTACTTTAATTGCATCCATCCTTCCAAATGACAGTTGTGGCAAAGCTTTTGTAGTCACTAGTGAAGATAACGACAGTAAACAATGGCAAAATCTTTGGAAGTACCGGATGTGACCAGTTGTAGAGGTGACACTTACGCTACCCAAAAAGTAGCATGGTACTTTAAATAATTATTTAAAATGAAAATAAGAAATAATCTAACAGTATTGATGAAAAAAGTAAAAACATCTATACTCCGCGGTCGAAATTATAGAGAGTGACTCATCGCTAGCTTTTGGACTAGTAAGGGGGATGAAGCGTGCCGGGAACAAAAATCCATTGGCGTATCTGCGTAAAAGGCAACAAGATATAGAAAATAATGAAAAAAGATAATAAAACATAACATCTAATATTTTTTTACGGTTTGCTATAACAGGCACTTTGATCCATTTTAATTATTACAGCATTTTAAAACGTCCAATTGTGTTTTTTTAATTTATAAACTTATTATAGCCATGGAATTAGACCCCTCGTCTACGCTTATGCTATGACTTTCTCAGGACGGGTTAAATTAAGTCCGTTTACATCCACTAAAAAAGCATTTCCCTATTCCCTACCAAGTGCAAAAGACAGAGATAGAATATAGATCGACGTTCAGTGTAACTCGGTCTCTAGACGATTATAGATTCTATCGATGTGCGTAGCGAGCGGCACAAAGATAAATAATATTGAACCGTATAAAAATCATTTTATATTTTATACGGATTATGGTAATAGTGTTTTTATATTATGTCTTAGTCACTCTCTATAATTTCGACCGCGGAGTATAATGTATAGAAATCATCAAATATTGTTAACTTTCAAAGAAAAACAACCCGGACAAAGATCAGCATGCAATTAGCCATGATAGATGAGATCTGACCTATTAGTTGCTTTTTCAAGTGGCCTTCTTTTTCAAAATGGAATTAATAGACATGAATACTAATGAATATTAAAATAATTATAGTTATATAAAACTTTTAGAAAAAATAGGCATCTTGTTTTACCTCAACTTTTCGAATCAAAATATATTTCACCAGGCACACAATTTTATATACTTTTTAACAGATACCCCTCTGTATTTTGACCCAAAGACAATGGAGCCATCAGAAATGCTCCATCACTTCAGGATTTTTCACAACCTTGAAAAATTGCTGAAGTTAAGATTTTGAAATTGAAGTATACAGACGTTTTATTAGTTAAAATAAATCCTTTTTATTTCTACACTTTTTTCTAAAATCCCTCTTTGTGGGGTTACAGCTATTTTTGACCAATTTTGAGCATTAAAAACTCTTCAAAAATGCATTTTCAACAAAAAAAGTGCAAGAATACAAAATTTTTATGTTGACCCAATTAATGTAAACTATAAACTAATAAAAAGGAATATACTGTAAGTCCTAAACCTAACGAAAGAAAAAAAAAACATAGCAAATAGAAATCCGGCAAAAAATCTTTTATTTTTTAATAGTGTGATTCACTTACTTCATTTTCAGATTTCTTTGCTGCCAGCGGCTTTTCTTTTAAAACCATCCAAGCTCCAAATGTTGCCATAATAAGTCCATGTCCGATATCACCAAACATTACAGCAAAGAGAAATGGAAAGGTTATAATGGTGTAAGGTGCAGGATTCATTTCCCTGTAAGAAGCAACACCATATGAATCTATAAGTGTCTGAAAAGCAGACGTAAACTTATTGGTGTTATTGTAAGTTGGCGGATCTTCTAATGTATCCATCCTATTTAATATGGGTGGCACTGAACTGCCACTGCGTTCCTAGAAGTTTTAGTTTTGATTACAACTATTGTAGGGTTCACTTTATAAGATGTATATTAAGTCAAATTTGATTTGTAAGAGTTCAGTTCTACTACATCAGTTTTTATTATACAGGGCGTCTGGAAACTGTGAGAAAAAAAAGGGTCATAAATACAAGGACCTGTAACATTTTTTAGAGAATTTAATATTAAAGGAGTTACATAATGTAATTTTTTTTTGGCACATTTATTATTGGTAACAAATTACACCTGCAAAAAAAATTAATATTTTAAAGCTCTAATGGACCTAAATAACCAACTATAATTGAGTACAACTTTTATTTGAGACTTTTTGAAAAATTAAATGATTTGCTATTAAAAACTTATAAAAGAACTTACAAACAAAATCTTTACATTACAAGTTGTTGCTAGTGATGTAACGAATATTCGCATTAGCGAATATTTGAATATTTCTTGACATTTGCAAAATTCATGTAAATATTTTGCGAATGTGAATATCAGAAAGAAAATCATATTAAAAAAAAATGTGTAAATATTAAATAAGTCAAAAATGAATTTCTTAGCATTTTTATTTGAAAAATTTTTTCTTTTTTAAAAAATAACTAAAATTTTTTCGCTAAGATAACCTTGCAATTGTATATTATTTCTTTCATCAGCCTTTACTTTAACATTAGGTAATAAAAATTTATATTTTTATGCTAGGGGCCACGCCAACCTGGGGGGTGCAAGAGGTGCGTGGCATTTGGGCCCCATGTTCCAGGGGATGACAAAAGACACCATTGGTTAGTAGAAGATGTGATATATGTATATTAATCCAGAAATGAGCAGTTTTAGAATATTTATTTAAAAATTACTTGATAAGTGTATGTCTCAAATTATCCGTGGATTTGAGAATATTATTAACCATATATGCAACGGTAGCCTCTAGCGAGAGATCTTTCTCAAAATTAAAGATAATAAAAAATTACCTGCATTCTAGTATGACATAAGATAGACTTTCTCATTTAGCTATAATAAATATAGAAAGTCAAATTTAAAAAGAACCTAGATATGTCTGATTTGGTTGAGGAATTTGTAAGGCCCGAAAAATTATTTTTTGAATAATGACTGAAGATACTATTTAAAAAATGAAGTCAGTAATACTGACACCTGAGCATCATTTTATGCATTCCTGTTATTTTTATACCTGTATTTTGTATTATAAATGTATTTATAGTTCTGTTACTTATGAAAACTATTTTAAGTTCCTGTTCCTAGCTCTTTCTTGCTTTTTAACATTGTTTTTTGTTAATTGTTGAAAAAAAAAATTTATTTATTATTAATATACAGGGTGATTCACAAATGGTGACTAAAAATAAAACCTGGTATTCTTTGGTTAATTTTAAGAGGATTAAGTTTTTATCTAGGACGCTCGTTAAATAGGTAAAGGGTGTTAAACTTCAAAATCTATTTTTAATTTTTTAAAATAATTTAAAAACTAGTAAATGAAATAATTTGAAATTGGGCACATGTATTTTCATGTAAACATTGTCCAAAATCTTAGGGCTTTTCCTAAAATTTACATGCTCCAGTGGCAGATATAGGATATCGGTGACATATTTTTCTAAATAAAATAGTACACCACTGCTTTACGGTAACAACCATGATATTTTCGGATTCGTCTTTCAATTTTCTACAAATTACTACTCTGTTATGTTTTTTGAAAAAAAGCCTGTTTTTTGAGTAAAACATAAACGAACTGAGAAAGCACTTCGATATTCAAATATAATGCTTTTTAAAACTACATAGTGGCTGTGATAGCAACTTTGACATTCTGAGCGGTTAGAAGAGAGAATAATTAATGCAACAATAAATTTCGAACAAATTACATTTTCGTTACTAAAAAGGTGTCGCACCTGTGTTCGTGGAAATGGAGTTTTTTTGAGCATTTATTCAAATAAAATCATTAAAATGATGACTAATGATATTAATTTCTTTATTCGAATAAATAACCGAATAATTAGTGCTTGTCATGTCATTTAAGTAAGTGTTTTCAGTTAGTTTTTAAGTTTTACTCGAAAATCAGGTTATTTTCGAAAAACATGAGAGTAGTAATTTGTAGAAAATTGAGATGAATCTGAAAATATTGTGGCTGTTACCGTAAAGCAGTGGCGTACGATTTTATTTAGAAAAATATGCCACCGATACCCTGTATCTCCGCCACTGGAGGATGTAAATTTTAGGAAAAGCCCTTAGATTTTGGACAATGCTTATAAATACATAAATACAAGTGCCCAAAATTTCAAATTATTTCACTTTCTAGTTTTTAAATTATTTAAAAAATTATTTTTTGAAGTCTAACATCCTGTATCTTTTTAACAAAGCGTCCTAGATAAAAACTTTATAGGAAAGATTCACCCTAATATTCATCAAAGAATACGAGGTTTCATTTTTGGTTACCATTTGTGAATCATCCTGTATATTTCCATATTTATTTTATTGCTACATTATGCTGCTAGGGCGTCAGCAAAAATTCCGCACCCTGGCAGCAGCTACCCTTGGTGCGGGCCTGCCAATACTTTAATATTATTTTCACTTTCAGTGTTATAAATAAACTTCTTTTAAAAATCAAAAAAAAAGTTATTTAAACAAACAAAAAAGTTATTCTTTTCTTTTCCTTCTTGTTTATTTTTAATTTTTAGCAAGTCAAACTGGAGTAGGGGAATATTAAATTTCAAAAATAAAAGATTTGAAGCCTTCTCTCCATCAAGTCATCATGTAATCAAAATCATGTAAACATGTTCAGATACACCTTGTTTTCGAGGGTTTGAAATGAAACTTTACTGAAATTAAATTATTTTGATAATAAGGTTCAAGTAAGTTTAGTCAGTTGTAATGCTTTAATTAAGAAAATCATATTTATCGTATTTTCATTTCTGTATCTAGAGAAATACGATTCTTTCAAAATGGTTAAAACATCTCTTTGCATATGAGTAAAAAAAATTGACACAAAGGTCAACTGTAGAGGATTTTTAGATGATAAGATATATTTCTGGCACCAGAAATGGATAGAGCTGAAAATTTTACGTTAAGATAAATTATCTTTATGTTACGGATCAAAGTGACCCTAAAGAGTTATTTTAGGGTCACATAAGGTTTTGAATAAGAATTTGAGATATTTTTCGGGACAGCACTTACGACGAAAGATTTTGGTTGACAGTTTTATGGTTTGATGGGATCATACGATTATGATCTTGACTATGACTTAGAGGTCAAGTTTGAAGGTTCTTTGAAGGTCATATCAAGTTACGAAATAGGCGAATCCTGTTTGCACACTCATTAAGTTATGGCGAGATCGCTATATCCCGGCCAGTCACGACAAGGTCATTATGACTCGGCCTGCCGGGTCGAAGCGATCCTGCCTTGACTGGCTGGGTCATAAGGATCTTGCCCTAACTTAATGGGGCTGTAAACAGGGTTCGCCTTCAAAGAATTTTAAAGCTTGACCTCTAGGACATGGTCAAGGTTATCATCATATGATCCCATCAAATCATAAAACTTTCAACCAGAATCTTTCATAGTAAATACTGCCCTGAAAAGTATCTCAAAATCTTATTCAGAACCTTATTTGACCCTAAAATAACCCTTTAGGGTCACTTTGACCTGTAACATAAAGATATATCTGAACATAAAATTTTCCGCTATATACATTTCCGGTGTCAGAAATGTATCTATCATATCTAAAAATCCAAGTTGACCTTCAAATGACATTCTACGGTCGACCTTTGTCAGAACCCTATAACTTTTGTCTAAATTTTTCTTGAGTGCTTCCCTAAGAAGATGTTACAATGCATTGGTTAATAATTATAATATATTAAACTGGCTTAATTAAATTTATTCGAACTTCATTATAAATCACTTTAAACAAGCTAATTAGAAAAATTTGCAAATATTATAAACATTTTTTTCTTAACAGTAGGATTGAGCTCCCAAACAAAATTTGATTTTTTAGAAATCTATATAGTGTCCACTACCAGATGTGTACTTACAGTTCCTCTGCGAAGTGCCAGTTGAATATTTTCTAAATCAAGAACAGGAACCCAACATTCAGCAATTAAACACTTTTGGGTAACATCCAAATTAAATAAGTTTAATGTATGATAAATAGCCTTAATTTTACGAACTTTAACAAACCAATTCTTGATATTTTTGGCTGCAGCAACTAAGACCCTATGACGATGGTCTTGTGTTTGTCCTAGAACCTATATAACATTGAAATTAATAAAATTTTTAAAACTAAATACATTTACGATTATCACTGCAGTAGTATCAAATAAAATTAAGCATTACAATAGCAAAATGTTTAAAAATTTTAAATAAAAATACTAACTGTATTAAGATCCTCAATTCGTGTCATAACACCCATTGCCATTTCCCTGCGATCCGCAGGAGCTTCTGGGCATGGATAAAGTGTTGCTCTAAATCCTTCACAAATTTTCTTTACTCTTGTTTTTAGTTGATCTCCTTGGAAAAATATAATGAAAACAGACTTGTAGACTTGATCACTCTAAAAAAAAATGGACTATAAAACATTTATACTATGGAAAAATGAAAGTACTTACAGTTGATGGGTCCTCTAAGGGAGTTTCAATTTCTGCTTGACGTAAAAATACATTTCCTCGACAAGCTCTCCATAACATTCGTTCAAAAGCAGGAATACGTTCTCGCAGTATAACCCCAGCAACAAAACTATATACATATACATAAATATGGTTATTTCAAATTGAAGAAATTTGATAAAACATAAAGCATCTTTTTTTTTAGAACATACAGAACTGCAGATTTAAAAGTAATTTTTTTAAAAAACAAGTTATTTGTATGAAAACATAATTTTAGGTGTCTACTATTAAGTATTTATGAACTTGTTTTTAAAACGATTTTTATAATTAATAACCGAAGTTATACACTAAAAATGGCAATGAAAGATAAATAACTATTTTTGACTAATATCTCACCATAAAATTTGCAGTTCTGGTCAAATCTGTGTTGTTCTTACCAGCACATTATTAAAATTTTTATCTCTTTTTAAAAGGTCAAATCAAATAATTTTGTACACTACACAATTCCACATAAAAGGCAAAACAAAAGGTAAGCATTATTTAACAAAAAGATAAATGCTTGCTACTAATCTACAAACTACATAGAGCAGCACAAGTAAAAACTAACAGGTTAACCAAAATATAATTAGGCACGTTAATTACATTTTGGCTGCAGCATAATTCACATTTAAATATAAATTAAAATAATACAAATGTACTGACCATGGAAAGTACTCCTCTGGGTCAAAATCTTTTTCCGGAAAACTGTTCAAGTAAAAGTTTTTACGTTATAAATTGACAATTGTGAGTAAATTATGAAATGTATATTTATGTACTAAATACATATGATGTGGAATTAAACAAATGTTCTAAATTAAACTGGTTATCAATAAAAAGGATAACTGTTAAGTATTTTGTGTTATGTTAGTATAACTTAAAACAGAACAGAAAATAAAAAGTCAATCAATGTGTGTGCAGCTAGATCAATCAGATCATCCCCCAAATTTTGAAAAAAAAAAGAAAAGAAAAATAAAGGAATTAAAAAAAAACAAATAACCAACTGAAAAACAGCATTTCATAACGCGGTCTTAATTACACTGTTACAAAAATTTGTTTGAAATTATCCAACGCAACGCAAGGTTTCAGATATTGGTTTAGCTGTTCACACTTTTAATGAAATAAATGATAGGGATAAAGGATAAGGTATATTTTATATTGTCATTGAGAAACTAAGATACTTTACCAAGTTGAAAACTAAAAAAAAAACTACTACTAACTTTCAGCATTTTATCAATTACTTTCTAAAATTTTATAAATCCTTTTGGGATAAAGACTAGTTCATTTTTGGCTTGAAGGAGATATAGTTTAGCATGTCAGTCCCCTACTCCAAGATATTAAATTTCAATTTGGATCAAGTGGTAACTCATTAAAAATTCTTCCAATTATGTATGTATTGTATAAAATTAGATTCATTTCTGACAATAGAGATCATAAATTTTACTTGCAAGTTTTATAAAAACCTTTTTAAAATACATAATATGATTTTTATTTATTCGAATAGATAAAATTGATAATGATTAACAGTAAATATAGATTAGGTTATTAATTTATGAATCACTCTCATTTGAACTTCTTTATAATATAAATTGCTCCACCTATTTCATATAAATAAAAATATATCATTCCTGACAGACAATGTAATAAGGAATTTAGCTTGGATAAAAACTTGTCAATACATTTGTTAACCAATAGATTGTTTACGACAGCAGTACCTATTAAAAATCCTCAAAATAGTTTTATCTGTTTTTTTTTTTAATATATATGTACATAGCATAGCGCAATTACTACAAACATTGAAATGACCAATATGTGATATAATAAATTTTGCACTAATTTTTCTATACTAATGGCATCTCTCTCTCTCGACCTTGTTAAAACAACAAGAGTGGGACTTCTTGGGGGTTGCCAACTTTTATTTTCTTATTTTCAGGAAAAATCAGCTAAAAATTCAGAACAAGGGCAAAACCTTAGGGAAATTTTTTATTTGCCTTATGAATGAATCGATCGACATTATATATTTTTAATTATAGAAAAAAGAAGTGCAAAAATATACAATTTTTTTTCTTTATCATTTTAAAACCTATCTGCCACAAAATAGGCAACAAACTTTAAAGGATTCAAATAAAACAATAAAAATACGTTTTTTTTTTTGGGTTAAGATCAAATAAAACTAAATATTAATATATAACAAACTAAATGAGAAGATAAAAAAAAGAGATATTATGATGTGAATTTTTTTAATATGCATTTCTGTTAGCTTTTTTAAGTTAATGCAAACGCTATTTATGAAAAGTTGAGAAACCGGCAGTTTTAGTCAGGATGCGATTGCCGAATGGTGCAAGTCTTGTGTATGTTGGAAAAATATACTTGTGTAAAATTAAGGGCATTTGACGTCCTGTAAAAAGTCTTGGTAGAACGTAGGACAATTGACGAAAAATTAGCTCAAATACTAGTAATAAGAAAAAAAAATTTTAATACAAGTTTTGCAGCACAGGCGACAACGTGTCGGTTTTATGAAGTTATAATTTTTTTTATTAACTACTGTTTAGTTGAGTCGTAGATGTATGTCCTAATTTAGGCAGAATTTTATAACGATTTCAAATTTAAAGTATAAATATTAAACACTGTTTTTTTTTTTAAAATGACTTTTTATATTGCTTCCTGGAACTTTATCACCTGTAAATGACTTTATCAGTACCTACATACTAGTTTTGATTATATGATTCAACTGTTAAAAATTCTTTTATTTTCCAGGCCTCCTATAACTGTTTATTAGATTTTCTGACTTGCATATCTTTATGACAGTATTCTAGGTCCGAACTCCATATACATATTTTATATTATAATAAAACAACTTAGTTTTATATTGTGAACATTGCAGGTAGGTACTATAAATTTATAGCATTTATAAATCTGACAAATTATTTAAACGACAGCTAAATCATTTACATTTAACAATTTTTGTCCCAATTGTTTAATAAACTGGATATGAAATTGTTGCAACTTATTGGTTAAATTTAAAGCTACTAAATAAGAAAGGTAAGTACTATTAAATAGAAGTATTTTGTGTTGAAACAAAAATTTGAACATGTTTTTTTTAATTGAATACTAATTTTTATGATGGGTCTTAATTATAAAAAAAGATATGGTCATTATACATGCCACATTACTAGAGCTGTCATAATTGGCCGCGCATCAAAGGCGTGCGGTGCGTATCATCAACATAAAATAAAGTGAACAATGATTATAAGATTTATGTCATTGTATCATTGAAACACGTAAATTGTTTTACGCATCGTTGCCATCGGTTCCACAGTCTGGATGGGATCCGTTATAGATCGCATCAAGTATGTTTCTACCCTTGTTTTAGCGAAACTGACTCGAGGCGGTCATAAAATATCTTAAATCTGAAGAGAACGACCGTTCGACATCTACTGATGTAATATTTACATAATTAAATAATCTACTTCCAAGCTGGCCCGACATGGTAATTTCCACTCGGGGTTGTATTTATTGCAATAGGAATGAAATGTTTTATATCTATATCAAATGGTAGGTTACATGCAAACAGTATGGTTTTTGTTTTTTTTTTATATGTATGTTGTACACTGTTTACGAGTAATACTTATTACTTTATATTAATATTTATTTTAAAGGTTTTTTATACATATACTCGTACAAGTATGTATATACTAAGCTACATTATTGTTTATATTCTATTAGTAAAAGAAAGTTATTACTCGTTGTTTAACTTTCCCTAGGACATGCACTTTAAATAACACTTGAGTGCCGCTTTGTTGGACAAATTTACTACTGATAAGTTGTGATGTTGACTTGAGTACATAATTTATTACTCCTTGCTTTTTTTAAACGAAGGGAGCAGCTGAAATAGGTATTTTTAGAACTTGTTATTTTTCTTTACTTTCATAAAATTCTTTTCTATTTCAAATAATATATCTGTTTTGTTGTCCACCTGAATAGTTTTTATATGTTAATAATTTTATAGCTAGTTACCGGTACTAACTACGCTCGATATAATTCCACACAATTATGCAACAAAAGACAACTAAAATCGTGAAAGAAACCGTTCGATTACAGGGAAATCGGCGACTAAACGACAGTTAGACAACTCGCGTGGCTGACTGACGGCGCCAATGGCTAGCGGACCGATTGTGACAGCTCTACACATTACACTTGCAGCATGTTCTAATAACAGTATCTTTCCTTCCATTAAACGTAGAGCTATAAAACCTTATATCATATTGTAATCATGAAAGAGTATTCTATTCAGATATGAAATAATATAGTGCGTTTCATAAAAAAAATGTTTACTTTAAAAAAAAACTATCTACAAAATTGATTTTATCATAAAATATTTATAAACAATCGTCAGCTTTTTTTTTAGCATTTTTTCTTAACTTAAAAATTGAAAATTGAACTGGGAGGTCATTTATATCCAACAATCTTATATAAATTAAAATAAAATAATAACTATTGCATTAATAATGTTACTAAAAATCCCCAAAATGATTTTTGTATTATAGGTAATATATCCTAAACAATCTGTTAAAAATTTGGTGTCAACATACAACAGGCTATAACTCCTGCAATACTAGCAGTACTCGTTACAATTGATGCTAACAAATATATTGGAATCTATCCAATTTAGCTCTATAAAGGATGTTTTATTGCAGCGGAATGTAAAAACAGTTCTTTTCGGTGATATATTCTGTTTAAATAAATAAATAGAGAGGGGATAATATTAACTGATGTTATCCTTGGATAATGAATGAAACATAAATATATCTAGTTTTTAGAACAAATGTTTATATGTAAGGAATACAGTTAATATGGAAGATATATTAATGAGTAATGAGAGCTACTGTAGAGTTAGAAGATTGATGAGGCAATGATACATACCCCAATTGCACGGGGCCTAGGGTGCTTTGTCGGGCTATACAGTCGTCACTAATGAGGGCCCTGGTCATAGACTCAGTGGGGTTTGCACCCCCCTCGTGCTGCTCAACAACACAACACATTAGCAAACCCAATGCGCCACCAGGAGTGATCATGACTGTTTTTACTATATTTTACATATTTTTCCCACTGTATTATGTTGCAATACGTAGATATAATTATGAAAATTAACTGAAATAAATATTTGAGAAGAAAGTTTTTTAACCTTTAAAGGAATATAGTACAACTAGTTTGAACTGACTGACTTATCAAAATCTGTTTTTCGATTGTTTACTGACTTGGTAAGACATTATTACTCAAAATGAATCTCAGCCATAATAGTTGATAATACTAAAAAACTCTTTTATATAAACTCTTAGATTCCCTTCATTTTGATATCAAAGCAATAAATTATTTTTATAGGATACCTCGTAATTTTGAATTTTCAATTACATACATATAAAAAAAATATGAAAATGAAAGAGAACGAGACATCTTGCATTATATTGTCAAATAGGAACTACTTCAATTGATTATTTTTAGACTGAATTAAAATCCGTAAATTGCACATAAGAAATGTACGAAGCATGAAGATAAGCATAGTATAACCAAGTTTACAGATATATTTATTCTGTAAACTTTGGTATAACAGTCCTTAAATATTTCACGTTCGTGTTCAAATTTTAAATGATTGTTACTCCAACTTCTATTTAGAGAAAAATATAATTACATTTAGCTAGAATCCAGTATATAAGTAAGTATATAAAAAAATTGAATGCTGCGTATCTGAGATATATACCAAATTTATGATATTTTTAGAGAATATCATGTATATTTTATTGTTTTCGAAAATCACCTATTTTTTCTAATTAAGTGTAATGTAACATAATAACATATTACATATTTGTTTTGACAGTTTGCACATTTTGGTTTATTTACTGACACTCCATAACAGATAAAATCAAGATTGCTGTGGAACTAGTGCGTGTATTCTTCTGCTGTTAAATTTGCTGAACCAACTTTAAATTATTAGAAAAGGTGTTCCATCATTCTGTTCTAGGACACTGTAAAGGACACAGGGTCCTATGTTTCCACCTTAAGTGTATTCAACATTTTCTTTCTTAAGTCATATAAGTCTTTAGGTCGTTCTTTGTTTATTTTATCTACCAGAATCCCCTACAGGAATAACTAAATGGGGGCAAATCAGGAGTTCTTGTAGATAAAATAAAATTGTCCCTTTTATAAGAGAGTTAAAATGATGTTGTTTAGAACAATAATAATGTGTTTGCTTTGACAATTTGCGTAATACTTTGTTTTATTTACTGTCAATGCAGAATGGACAACTATGTAAAATCCATAACTATGGTTATACAATGTGACAGTTTTAATGAGGTAATAATAGTTGTACCTGAATAAAACTATGCAATTATTTTTATAGTATTAAGGAGAAAAGCGGTGTTTTCGAGTGTTATGTTTTCTATGAAAATCAAATGCTAAAATGTGTTTTAGAATAACTCTATTCCATAATTCTCGTATAAAGGGTCAATTTTATGGTCTATAAGATCTACTGTTTTGACCCCTACATAGTTCATTCTATGGCTAATAACTTACATGATCTAAGGGTTATACAGGGTGTATCTAAATAACACCGAAAAAATTCAAGGGGCGATTCTCCGATGAAAATTAATAGGGAATTTTAGGAGGGGCGTAACTTTTCAGGGGAGGGTTTTTTCAAAAAATTTTATACCAAAGACCCCTATTAATTTTCATCGGAGAATCGCCCCTTGAATTTTTTCGGTGTTATTTAGATACACCCTGCATAATATTATGTGAATGACTCCGTTGGCTAAATTTATTGCTAAGTGATACTTTAAACCACTAAATAAAAACATTTCTGGTAGGAAAACTTTTGTCTAACGAAATGAAAGTGAGGTAGCCAAGCAGTTTGAAGATGTGCCAAAATAATTCTCCTCTGCGAAAACGTGGCAGCTAGAAAACATGTAACTAAATTTTATGATGGATTTTATATCGATTTAAACTTGCAGAATAGACGTTTGCTAATAGTACCAATATGTACTTACAATTTTTTCTTTTAATCCTGCAAAATTGAAATTTTGATTTGCTAATATTTTTTTTCTTTGATATTAACTAAAAGTGATTTTCATATTAGAAAATAAGTATACATTGTTGAATTTAATTTATCATGCTGCTGAACGTACTTAAAAGTACCGACAAAAAATGTATTTAAATATTTCACATACAAGCGCTATAATGGACAACAGTGGTAAAGTGGTATAATTTGTTACGTGAATAAAATATGTTAAACTTATTTTATAGTAGAAACAGTCATTTTACGATCAAAACTTATCAAAATTAACAAATATAAGCCAAAACCAAGCTTCTAATAATATACCTAGCATGAACTACTTAAATACATTACCATAATCCTAATATGAAAATTTTATGGTAAAATACGACAATACAAAGGGAGCATCATAATGTCACATACGTACATATGATAGGCTGCTATTATATACAAATGCAGACGATAAATGCCTGACTCTATCTCTCAATGTAGAAATTTCATTACAAAGAAAATTTATGGAGACGCATTTATTTACACGTACCTAGGGAGATATCGAGTCAGGTATTTAAAATTATAACCCCATATAATGTTTCACACATTTAAACTTGCACTAAGTAAGCCCATTTATAATACCCATTCAGTTAATAACACTGCAGTATCCCTCATCCTGTCAAAGTAGGGTAGTATAACATCACTTTGTACAAATTTAACACACACGCGCATATATATACATTTACTTTTATTATGCTCGATTTTTATCATACTCATGCACTGTGTTAGAAACTATTTGATACAATTCTGTAAAGTATTTATATAACAAATATTCATATTTGTATACAGAATTGGCTGTTTAGTTTAATGCAGTTAAAATCCATGCAAGAGGCATATATACTTCTTCACTTTATTATACTTTAATACGGATAAATTTTGTTAGAAATTATTTTTTTCAGGTAATAATACGAATGTATTACTGGCCAGGTTAATGAAATTTACGACACAGACACAAGCTTGCCTCAAAGTTGTCCGGTAGTTGACTGTGTCTGCCATGAAGATATAGTGCTGTAAGAACAACAAGATTTTTTGGATATTTTTGTATAGTTTTTAAGTTCTATATCTTGTTAAATTTCAGAATGCATTCTTTGAATTAATAAAATACACTTTTTATCATTAATGAAACATATTATTGTAATAATATTTAAATGTTAAAATAAATAAACTGTAAAATAAATTGTTCTAAACGAAAATATATTTTAAGTTTTTCAGATCGGTAAATGTGTAAATAAGTACATATATCTGATAAAATACCTTTGAAATATTCTTTAATCTGTATTGCAATATTTTAGATAGGATCAATTAATTTTCATAATTTACAGTAAGCCTTAATACAAACATGATAATATAATTATCAATATTTACTAAAACCATTAATTCCATAACAAATATTTTCCAGAATAAGATTATAAATGTGTCAAATGGAATTAATAAATAAATAATAAGAACCATCAGATAAAATATTTGTTTGAATTTATTTTCCATTGTATTAATAATTATTACCTAATTCATACCATGGCAAAGAAATGATGCATATTTTTAACGTTTACTTTCACATTAATCTGCAATAACAAATACTTCCCAAACTATTAACAAGATATAGAATTATCTCCAAAATTACAAATTAGCAATTTACCCCAGCTTGAGGGCCTGGCCCCCCGCGCGGAGGCCTTCTTCACCTAAAAGGGTCACTTGTTCTTCTTCGCGTGTCGGATCGGCCATCTGAGAAGAGGCATCTCGTTCAGCCTGGTGACACATTGCCTCCTACTAATTACCTAACCCTAACATCTACTACGCCACTGTCTTATTGGAATGTTTTTAGACATGGACATGTTTACCCAGAACCGGGCTGGAGAGATTGGAATGCACTTGTTTCTTAGAATGAATGGTAAGAAAATACAATTTTAAAAATCAAATATTTAAATTAATTCCAATGTTCCCGTCCGACTCAATTAGCTGATGAAGCGACACTAGAGCCATATAGGCTCACTGCTTTAAAAACAATTTATTCATATATTTAGAACAGTGTTAAATCGATGCAAAAATTATTAGTATGACGTCACAATATAATATTAATTAAGTGGTAAATAATTAGTGGTACAAAGCATTAGTTACGTTATTCAGGTACATACCAGTTAACATGATATATTTCATTCATTGAGACTGTAAAAAGATATCGTGTTATGTCTGAAATGAAACGAATATCTACCATTCAGTTACAGAATAATTGAAAAGACTAATTTCTTTAATACATATTAAAATATTAATCAATTGTTGGTAGCTGTTAGGTAATAGTAAATTAGAGCAATGCTCGAATTGATATACACGAGTTTTAATAATTTAAGTGCTGCTGGAGTCGTATTTTGCATAGAAAAACAAATTTAATATTATAACTCAAACAGAACAAATTTAACCATATATCATTTTAATATCCACTAAGTTTATGGCAAAATCAAAACATTATTTTGTTAATTGGAAAACATACCTACAAAAAAAAATTAAAATTCATTCGACCTTCAAACTATGAGGATTATCCAGAATCTAGAACCTGTTTGTCTACACAAGAAGCTCATGTGAAAACATGAGCTCTGGTCACTCTTATTGTTAGTTAGTGTGCATTAATGTACCGGGTGTACATAAAACGACATTTAATATGAACAGTTCTACAAAAAATTCGATCCAGAGCCAAACGCGCGCTGTTATATATTTTTTTTAAATTCTAAAACCTAAAACAAAAAATTCAAGTAAACATTGTCCAGCGAAAACTTATAGCTACCGTTTTTTGGTACAATAAAGTCGGTCACATACAGAAAGAGGTGCTGTACCGATTTCGCACCAGTTTTGGTTGTGGTTCATCATGAAGCTTCATTTACATAGGATTAGTGCGGTTGCATTGGTACTGTAGAAAAGTTCTTAACATGCATT